GCATGGAGTCACAGTATATTTAGTTTGTGATCTATACGTTTACCCTGTACTGTGTACGTGTGTGTGTGTGTGTGTGTGTGTGTGTGTGTGTGTGTATGGGTGTGTGTGTGTGTATGTGTACACATACAGCCATTTCAGTAATTCTGTTGTCTGTGCAGGACAGGGAAACAAATCTTTACCAATGGAGCTACTCTGCTGTAGGCTTAATGAGTCTAAATACCTGCAGTAGCACTTCATCACTATGCAAACAAATGGAGGTCCTATACCTGTGCTGTGGCTCAAGGTGGGGAATCCGCTCCAGAATATGAGTTATTCACATCCGCAGCGTTTGGACAGCACTTAGAACTCCTATTGAGCAAGATGGACATTCGTAAGAAACCATGACACTTTGATATCATTGAGGCATTGTGTATATTGCCTCAGAGACCACAGGTAGTTCGCCTTTGGCCTCTCCGCCTCATTTTAAGCATTTTAGCCACTCAAAGCAGGTTATCTCTGCATATTCAAGAAGAGGAAGCAATACACTCGTATGTAGGGGAAATCCCAGTGGGAGCAGGAAGTTTGTTTTAAGCCATAGTGTTGGTCACAGCTCCTCCTTATGTCTTTTAATCTCTTCCAGGCCCGGTCTGTGGTAGGTAAATGGCTGGGTGTATGTCTACACTGCAATAAAAAACCCGCTGCACCAACTCTGAGCCTGGGTCAGCTGCTAAAAATAGAAGTGTAAACATTTGAGCTTGAGACCCTCCCTGCCCCCGAGGGGCTTTAGAGCCCAGACTCCAGCCCAAGGCTGAACGTCTCCACTGTGATTTTTAGCCCAACAGCTGGAGCCGCACAAACCAGAGTCAGCTGACCTGTGCCGCAGGTCTTTTATTGCAGCGTAGACACACTGTGGGTGTTAACTCCTTTCTCCCTGGTGCTCCGTTTTAAGCCTGTATAGTATCAGTTGATTAAATAAAGTGGTGATAAAATTGCACTAAATCTTATAATTGTATTGGCTCAAAGGGCAATGAGATCTGGTGAGAGTGCATCTCAGACTGCTGCTTGGTCAAGTCCTGTCCCATTAGAAAATGTACATGATGGTGTGTCGCTGGCACAGTATGCGGATAAACTTTGAGCCATGTCTTTAGAGGCAGAGTTGTTGGATCAAGCTAACCTAGGTTCCTGCTCTCGCTCACCCCATAGCACTGTGGCGGTCAAACACATGGGCCTGGGGGGTCCCCACCTATCCCTCATAACTTGCTGAACTTATCTTTCCCAATACTAAAGAGAATAGTTTTAAAAAGCTGCTTATTGGTCTGAACCCACAGTGTATAGTGAATGTAACTGACACCAAGATGTTGCTTGATAGGGGAGAAATGCCAGCTGACACATTGCTGTGATACGAATAGCTGACTGAGCCAACAGGGGCAGGCGGCTGGTTTGCATGTGGAGTTGAGAGAGCAAGCAGGGGTGTTAAGTCACTGCAGGTAAAGAAAGCAAGTGAGGGTGATCTCTGCAGTTCGCCTTTCCTGTAGATTGGGGAGGAGAAGTAAAGGGATAAGAAGGGAGTTGGAGGGAAAGGTGCCAGCATTGAGTCGTTCTGTAACAGTGTAATGTGGTAGGAGATTCGTGAAGCCAGGGTTCTATGGGATGCAAGCTTTCTCCAGCATCTCTAAAGGTAAAGGACTCCTTATATAAGCAGAGCTTTTGAACAGAAGTTGTAGCCAGAAATGGGTCAGATCCCCTCCAGTGGTGCATTATGGCCTCTCTAGTCCAAAATAGAGATCCCCTAATTAGCAGTTTGCCTCAGTTCCAGTCGAAGGAAGCTCATGGCAAGCGTACCCTGCTATCTACTGCACGTCAGAATCTTCATGGCATGAGATCTTGCCAGACCACATGGTAGAAGGAACCTTGTGATAGATACATTTAGAGGCAGCCGGAGGCTGAGCCGGGAACTCTCCTGGCACACCCACTCAGCACTATATAGGCTCTACCTAATAGCAGATTTGGGCATTGTGGAGAATGGTTAGTTTGTTAGTGAAGCTGCTGAAATGCACAGTGCTGATGTAAGTGCCCTAAAGTAGCATTGGAATGTTGTAGTACGTTAACTCCTTGATGGTGCTTTCCTCTTTATTCTGGATATCTGGCAGGGTGGCCTGACAGCAGCGATCCTCTGGCTGTGAGCTGCCTTTTGTCTGCTGCAGGGTAGCCAGCTTTCTTCTGGGGAAGGCAGATGCATGTTGGGCCACACGTGTGCAGGTTAACGCTACTGTCTTTCCATTGATGCCTTGTAACTGCTGGTGCTGGATTAGTGTTTGTTGACAGCTGACTCCTTAGTGCTGCTAAATAATACATGACAAGTGAGGTCCTCAGAGCACTACTTTGCTCAGCAAATGTGTTTTAAGCTCCAGCTTTGGTTGACTGACTCCAAATGTGTTTGGTAATAAACTGCCCATCTCAGCCTTGTGCCAACAGAGCAGGGAGCATGGCACGCACAGCCCTGGAATCGCACCATTTTATCTTCCCTTTTCGTTCAGTCTTATGGAAAAAGGTCCTAAAATGACACATCAGTATATTGTTCAAGCTTCATAACCACTGGTGTTGATTAATTCTCTGGCCAAAAGCTTTGCTGGTTGAGGTGAGGCTGTATTGCCATTTTAACACAATATGAATCAAATTTCTCTCCACTTTCTCGTCTAGATCAGGTACAGCGCAGTCTGTGATCTGGGCCCTGGGCTTCCTTATTTGTCAAAGATGGTGCGCAGCTGAATGCTGACAAGGCCACGGGAGGGACAGGTGATGCATTATGTGCGTCTGCCACCTCCTGGCAGGTTGTCTGACATGCTGCAGTGATTGACCTCTGGGGCTGTATGTGGAAAGGAGCTTTCTGCAGGAAGGTGTGTGTGTGTCATGTCCACATTGGGTGCTCAATAGAACGTCAGGCTTGGCCATGAGTTACTGCTGTGGCTTTTCCTGTTCACTTTTGTAAAGGCGGATGAATGCTGGACATGGCAGGCAGAGGGAAGGGGTCCGTAATGGAAGGCATGGCCCAGGGCAGGACAACAAGGAGAGAAGAGGAAGGAAGAAGGGGCCTCTCTGATGGAAGAAGGGGCCTCTCTTCTAAGCTAAGTTCAGCGCTGGCGGGGCAGGTCTCAGGTGGTTGAAGTCGGCAGGGTTGCACCAACTGACTCCAAGGGCTGCATTTAGTATGTGATCCCGACCGCCGGGGTGGAGCCTGCCTGCAGAGTGACCCTCCCTGGTGCCACTGCACCTTAATCCCTCTTTAGAAAGACGAATTAGGGGTGATTCCTCATTCTGAAACACATCTGATCTTGTTAAAAATTAACTCTCCTTTGGCCTCCATCAGGACCGAGTCCTGGTTTTGAATGGGCTTTCCCACTCAAATGCCGCTCTTTATTTGGCTGAGTGTAATTGTATGCCTGTGTTTGCTCAGCCCTTAGTAAGCACACAGGTTTTCTTGCTGCTTCTGCTTTCCAGTAACAATGGGACAGTCCCGGAAGCTACCTCCATAGTGGCTGAGAACGAGTGAATGCTATTCAGCAGTTTGCTGAGAGACCTTTGACTCTATTCCCACGTGCATCTGCCCTTGGTTTTGTGTTTTACTGAAATTCTAGCTACTGTTCGATTTCTCCCCCCATCCCCTGTTTTTCTCCGTTTGGACCACTCAAATCCATGGAAATACTGATTATATTAATAAAATCCAGTGTGTTACTTAAGGTAGAGGTGTTTTTATGTAAATAATAAATTAGATTGAGTGTAAATGCAAGGCTGTCGGCTAGAGTAAGGCAATGTAATGAAAGATACACTCGCGTGGACCTGTACATCTGTGCTTGTGTCCTTACAGAAAGAAGTGCCAGAACTGCCTGGATGTGGCTCCCCGCTCTGGAAGGAGAGCTGGCGCTCATTGACCTGGCCAGGATGGGGAATGAGCTGCCATCTTTCCCTCTAGAGTAGGCCCAGAAGTGGAAGTGTTGGAGGCAACGCAAGGAGCTGGTGCCTTCGCTCCTTCCACCTCTCCCGCTTCTGGGCCCACTTCTCTCTCGTGGTTCCTTTTTTATTTTGTCCTCTCATCCCACGTATTAACCCTGATATTTGCGCAGAAAACCAGGACCTTAATTTTTGGCACCAATTCTCACCATTTTTTTTTTTCAAATGTTTGCAATGAACACCGATACATTCCTTGGAAATTTTAAACAAAATATAAACAGCAGAAGAAGGGCCTTGATTGCGGGAGGTTTTCATTACGTGATCCTAGACCGCTGAGCAATGTGACCTCTGCAGACTTGATGCAGTTGGGCTGGCTATGTGGAGACAGAAATATTTATAAAAATAAGCTGAAGAGCATTCAGAGTATGCATCAGTGTCTAGAAGGGTTACAGGCAGGGGGCAGGGAAGGCATGCCGTTGGAACCTCCTACCCGTTGAGGGGGAACCATACAGGAAAATAATAAGATGACAGTAATAAGCAAGCAGTTTGCTTGGCATGTAGCTCTCTGGGGCAGGGACTATGGTTTTCTTGTTTCTGTGACGGACCTACCATGCATTTATTTATTTATTTTATTTGGGCGGGGGGGGGGCGGGGTTTGTTTTTTTAAACAGAATCTATCCGTAATTGCAAGTAGTACTACACTGGGGGTGTGTAGCCAGGACTTGCCTAATCTGATTTACGGCCCTGCTGCCACCTCATTTTACCTTCCAATCTCGCTTCAGACCAGCCACCACATTAGGTGTTTTCAAAATACTGCTCCCCTTCTGGGAGTGGTTAATTATTAAAGAATACCAGACAGAACCCCCTTCCCCAGGCCCAGCAAGTCCTTCAGCAGCCATGTAGTCCTCCCTCTAGCTCAAAAGTCTTTCCAGTTGCTGACAGCCCCCTCCCCAGGTTCTCTGCCCTCCTAGCTGGGCTTCCTGCTCCTAGCAGGTGTCTCTCACAGGCCGCCTGGCTGGGAGCTGTAGAGAGTTGTCGCCGGCCCTGGTACTAGCAGCGCCTCTCTGAGTGAACTCAGGCTGCTCTTGTATTCCCCAGCAGGCCTGGTGTCTAGTCATATGCTCCTGTCCTGGTGTCATTTCCTTCACCTGGAGAGGTGAGCTAACCTTGGCACAGGTAATGCTGAGCCCCAGCTCTCTTAAAGGGACAGCTTTCCTTGTGTCTGGGGTCAATGTTGCTGTGATCATATGCCAAACCCAGGGCATGTCAGGCTCCTTGCAAGGGCTCTTTGTGGTGGTTCCCAGGTCGGGCGGCTCTGGTTCAGGCTCCACTGCCTGTCTCTGCGGTGGCAGGCTCTGTCAGAGGGCGTCATATCTGCTGGAATTCCAGCTGGTGCTACACCTGCTGCTTCGACCAGCGAATGCCCGATTGAGTGCAGATCAGCAGGGGCTGTTGATGGAGGAGATGGCCCATGGCTGCCTGAGGGAGGGCAGGGTTCCCCCTGGCCTTAACAAACGAATATTAGTCCCAGTGTGGAATGAAACGGGGAGTCGGGGGGAGCTGTTGTTTCATTACATTGCCAAGGAGCCCATGGGGGAGTGCTGCTCACCTCACCAGGGAAAGAAGGGGGAGCTCCCCCCATTCTATCACTTTAACCCCTGCTTAGACCCTTGCTGAAGACACCATCTCTTGATGCAAACAGCGCATCTGGCTCTTGCCGCGTGTCATGTCTGATGTACAGGGGTAGATCATTCTGGCAGGTTGCGGTGGCTCCTACAACAGCTGGATTCCTTCCACCACTGCTGTCAGTCAGTGTAGCTGTAGGCCAGGGCCCAGTATGGGATGGTGGTGATGGGTGTGTTCTCCTAGCAGTGGATGAAGGGCAGGTGTTTCTGCAGATTCTTGGTTTTCTCTGCTGCCTTTGAGCCCATTGGCCAGCTATAGAACCTAGCCAGGCAGGTGGAGTCGCTTGCGAGTGGCTCGGTTTATTTCTTCTTAATAAATCCTAGAGGGTGGCGTTGTGCAAATGGCTCATCTGCCTCAAGGAAGGTCCCCTGGGTTACCACATGGTTTCGCAGTTGCTTTGTATTGTGGTGGTGCTAGGGACCCCAGTGATAGACCATGGCCCCATTATTCTTGGCTCAGTACAAACCCAACACAAAAAGACAGGCCCTGCCCTGTGGAGTTAACAGTCTAAGTAGCATCCTCCTGCTGTCACTCCTCTTGTGTGTGGGTTATTGTGCTCGCAGGATCTTGCTGCACCCAGCTCTGTATTTCTGTCCCTGCCAGTGCAGTGGAGCAGTCTGCTTGGTTGATAGACATTGACACATGGGTAAGATGCAGTTCAGACAAAACTGAGAGGCTGCTTCTCGGGTGTTCAAGGGATTTAATCTAAGGAGTAAAATCTTCTTTGTTGTACAGTCTCAGGAGGTTTTCTCTCTGCACCAGATTTACTAAGAGAGCAGTGAGCTACTTGCACATAATTCCATTTTAAACTTGGGAATTGCATAAATGTGGTGCCAGGATGCTAATGGGCCCAGCTGTGTGATCCAGAGATCTGGCCAGCGCCTTTCCGCCTTTGCTGATGCTCTTCAATTCTGCTTCCATTGTTACATAGTACTTTAAAAGGCACCAAAAATATATTGCTCAGTGTATGTCCTGAAGAGTTTAATTTTCTTAGATTAATTACCCATTGTCTCATTGCATCCTTGTACATCCCCGTCTCTCTGTAGCCAGTTCTTGTCTCTAGCATGGGCTTGTCTACACATACAGCCACTGTAGTGCTTAGTGAAGACACTACTTAGATTGTAAACTCCTCAGGGCAGAGCAACATAGCTATACCAACATAAGTTTGCAATGTAGACCAAGCTTACAACTGTCAGCTCTTTAAGGCAGGGCCCGTCTTTTTGTTCTGTATATGCACAGCACCCAGCACAATGAGGTTCTGGTCTGTCTCCTAGGCACTATGGAAATACAAATAATAAATAATATTCATTAATAATGGAGGAAGCTAAAGTGTTGGGCCAAACATTTGCTTCTTGGTTGGCTTAGTGCCCAAATTGTTTCAACGCACGAACGTTCAGACTGTCATCTCCTAGATGAACTAAATATTATAGGGAGCTGGCTAGTGTAAGTGTGCACCATTGCGCTCTACTGGATAAAATTGGAACTGCCCCACTGTGTCATAGACCCTGTACCTCTTACAGCAATTCTTTAGCTCTAGTGGCAGGGCCCCAGGCTTCTGGAGCAGGAGGATCTGGGGTGGGTCCCATTCAGGGGGAGACGGGGATGTTTCTTGTCTGTGTATCAGTCAGGTCACCAGGTAGCTTCTCTGACCACCTGACTGTCTTTTTAATTTCTAGACACCAAATAAATACAACTCGCAGTACCACAAGCTGTTCAAGGACATCCCCACGGAGGAGAGTGTCTTGAAAGGTGAGTGGTGGAGACAGTCTCGAGGGAGTAGAGAGACTTCTATACAGAACCTCGGTGCTGCACTGGTGTCAGACCAGCGGCCCTCCCCGTTCAACGGATGACCAGACAGTGGCTGAGACCAGAGGCTGAGGAAGGTGACAAATGCAGAACACCACCAGGCCCCAATATACTGTAGTGGATTAACGCACAAGCTTTTTCATGCTGGAGATCAGTCTTTGAGTCCCGGCTGGAGGTCAGGAGCAGAGGAGTTTGATCGTCGTAGCCTAGGCTCTGTTGGGAGTTTGTCCACCTCGCGCCACACACTTTAATTGTGAGGGACAGTGCTTAGCATGGTGGGATTGCTTGCTTTTATGAACATCAGATGTCCCCAAAACGGGGGGAAGGGAGAAAATCCCTGTCTGGATGTCCAGGGCACTGTAGCTAGCAGCATCTCAGGGCAGGTGTCTGGCAACGTGCTGTAGTCCCCAGGCATGGCATCTGCACAGGGCTCTGTGGGTTTTGCTGTGGGGCTGGATCTGAGGTCTGTGGGTTCCTCTCCCCTCCCAATGCTACCTCTGTGTGTGTTACAGTCTGCTCCTGTGCGCTCCAGAGAGACATCCTCATCCAAGGACGGCTCTACATCTCCCCCAACTGGCTCTGCTTCTATGCAAACCTCTTCGGGAAGGACATCAAGGTAACACCGAGCGGCTGCTCTCCACCGCACTTTGCCTTCAGCAGAAGCCTGACATTTGATTCCAAAACACCAGCGCCAGCAAATGGCAGTGATCTCCCTTCCCCGTCACTGCCTAGCACTGACCTCTGTCCCATGTGGGCCTAATGGACCCTTACCTCATTCTGTCACATACTCGTAGAGAGAATTTATTGCTCTTAGACAGGAGCCCCTGCACCATTCCTTCCCCCGGCCCAGGTTCTGGCTTAGCAGGATGAGATGTGACTTCTAGCGCCCAGTGAAGGGTTACTTTGCCAGATGTTCTCCTCAGTGATGCATTTTCCCTCCAGCCCTAAGCTGTTAAATAATGCTGTAGTGCCAAAATCAACCCGCCATAAGCAGGGATGGGGAGTTTTCATGCATTGCTGGGAGAGCCATCTACAGATCTAGTAACCTCTGAGTCTTCTTAATAGAAATAGTGTTTATTTGTGTTGCTTTTTTAATTCCACACCGCAAATATTTTTAGAGGCTCAAACTGTCAGTGCCTCAAGATCAAAGGCTCCTAGAGGATTCTGAAACAGATCTGAATCTTCCTCTCAACTCTCTGCTTGAGTTGTAATTTGACATTTTACTATTAATGCTGTAGCTGACAGGTAGCTTTTTTTGTGGGTTTTTTAAATTTTTTTTAGAACTGACTTCCTTTTAAAAACAGTGCTGAGCAGCTGAATTATTTATACCAGCGGATATTCCTATTTAAACAGATCTCTGATAGAAGGAATGCGAGTCAGCTCCCAAAGTTGAGCATGTTTCAGTGAAGTTATTCTGCTATGAAACTACATCCTGGTTTATTTTTAACTGTGCCCTTGAATGCAGGGACTCTTATCTAGGTCCCTAGACAAAGATCTGCTGTGTTGGTATTGGACAATGGTCTTTTTTTGTGTTAATTGTATTGAAAATGTATAAACTAAAAACCTTTTCAAACCGAGGTTACTACATAGAGTGCGGTGATCCTTAATACTGCTCAGTAAATGTAAAGATGTCCCCAGCCAATGATTGTTACCTAGGTTACTATCAAATACAGGATGCAATTAGACGTCCATGTAATGGAGATTGGCTCACTGTATTTCTAAAGAAATTCCACACAGAACTATGTTAACAAACTATCACTAAGGTTGCAAAGTCAAGCATTCAGAAGTTAGGAAATGTGAGAATTAAGGTTGCCCATCACATACTGTTCTTTTCCCAAAGCACCTATCTCATTCAGTGCACTGGGTGCACAGAGCTCCATTAACAGGCAGCTGTTCTGTATTATGTTTAATCCTCGTTGGCCAGCATGGGTATGCCTACACTGCGGGCGGGGGGGGGGAAATACCCACAGTACCGAGTCTCAGAGCCCTGGTCGGCTGACTCAGGCTGGTGGACTGCGGGTCTGAGCACTGAGATTTCCCCCCCCTCTCCCCCCGCAGGTCTTTTATTGCAGCATAAACATACCCTGCATGGCCCCATGCCTTATTGACTGCATAGTCTCCAGTCCCTGCATGGAACACAGAACTGCCAGCTCCCTCATGGGCTTTTCTGTGGCTCTCGTTCCTCACTGTTGGATCCCCACCTATAATATGTGTGCGTTTACCTGGTGTTTGTTTTACATTTCAGGTGGTTATCCCAGTGGTCTCGGTTCAA